AAATCCCCCTTCCCCCTCCATGTCCATGTTCTTGTTTTTGTTCGCGTGTTTCGTTTCATGATGTCGTCTCAGATTACACTATTTCAATCGCGCACAGAAGACACACAGGTTTTCCAGCTACGTCCATGAACATGTACTTCGATTCCCACCTTGTTTGAAAGCCCCGGTTCTCAGTGTCCACCTTCCGTTTTGCCATTTTTGATGGGTATCTGAAAGCTAATATCACTGTTATGGGAACGACTGCTAGACTAATAAATATTTAAATAAAGCGGCCGACTGCTTGGCGCGTCACCGTTGCATTGTGGGAAATGTAGTATTGGTGCGTGTAAAAGATCTGCGTGCTCTCGGCTTGCTGCGGTCCGCGGGCCGGTTCTAATAATAAAGCAATATCATCCCAGGGGCCACTGAAAACATTCTCGCGGGCCGGATTTCGCCCGCGGGCCGGCACTTTGGCATATGTGCTGTACAGCAATCATTTTCTTGAGCTTGAAATTGCTCGAGTCTGAAATTGACTCCCAGTTTGAGCAAAAGATGGACATTTGAAACAAACATGAGTGTTCATAATTTCACTAATCATCTTTGTCACTTTGCCCCCAAAATTTTGTACCAGTAGTTCCATGAATAAAAATTTATATTGCTTGTTGCTTTTTAATTTCTAACATTGAAACATACAGTACTAAATGCAGCGATTGATTTCACATTGTTTGTGTTAAATATACAATGCGGTACAATCGTTTCAGTAAATGCATCTGTGACTTTTTTCTTGTTTGCATTTAAGTAATTTGACAGTACAAATAATCATAATCAACCATTTTAGGCACGAGAATAGTGATATGAAATGACTGTGTCATGTTGCTTCATCATGCAAATGTTTCAACTTTCCAGCTGCCTGACAGATGTAATGCACCATGGAGACTTGTGTTTTCCACACTGTTGCATGGCGAGAGCTTCACAAGGATGGTGGCAGGTCTAACTAAATGTGGGCCCACCTTGCTGCTCATCAAAGACACAAAAGGACATGTTTTTGGTGGCTTTGCCTCTCTCAGCTGGGAAGTCAAACCACAATTCCAGGGTGAGAAATGGATCTGTCATATCACCATTATATTTTATTTTTTATTTTATTATCCTCTTAAGCGCAAAATGAAATTGTCATCGGTCAAAAACTGGCCAACACAAATGCACAATTCAATTGGGGGTGGGGGACGGGCACACAAAACCAGAGAATGTGTGTGTGTGTGTGTGTGTGTGTGTG